AATTTGGTTTCATACAGGACATTTCAAAATTATCATTAGCTGCCATAGTAATTGGATAGAAGAGTGGAGGTTGGCACTGTAATTTCTTTTAAGTTGCAGGCCTTCAAACTTGTGCCTTATTATGGAGTGCTGGCAGCTTGATTTTCTACTGCTCAAACTCCAATGTATTTTACTTGGAGAAATAAGAGGAAAAGGGAAGTTATGTGGGAACTATTTGCAACTCATTTGCTTTCATTCAGTCATTTATTACAAAAGCACTGATTTGAAACTTTTTTGAGCTCCTACTGTGTGCAAGGAACTGCACAGTTCAAGGTGCTTAGGAGTAAACAAAAGGTTAAGAAATGACCCCTACACTAGCTTGGAAGAGCTTATGGAAATTCAGGTAAACAGATAATTTCCTTGAAGAGATAAGCTTGAAACTCTGTTTTTATATGGTTAGACACTTCCCTTTAGTTCCATTTTTAACCTTAACTAAGAAGGGGCGGTATGCGTATGTGTGTGTCTGTCTGTGTTTGTATTTCCTTTGTTGTGTTTCTTCTTAACAATTTATTTTCCTTTGGGCCGTCTGAAAAAAAATCATTTGTCTGTTGCTTCTAGGAAACATGGCATGGAACAGTATTAAGTGGAAAAATATTGTGATGAGGATGTTGGTCAGCCAGTAGTTTTCCAGATGGGAGAGAGATTGAACTGAACGCTGTGTGGACAGTGTTAACTGGTAGGGCACTTTGAGATGATTGAATAATCTGGGTAATCTCCAGAGATCATATTTTCTGAAGTTAGTTACTTAGGTTGTCTTTTTCTCTATTTGGTGTTTTTTGCATTTGGTTTTGTTTTGAGCAGCTTTGGTGTATGAGATGCATTTTTACCCTTTGCATAAGTACTTGTGATACGGGAAAATGTTATAACGGAGACTAACATGAAACATTTTAACTTATTCACTGGTTAAATGATAATTTAATATATTTTAAGCATACTTTTATAGTTAGTTTTGGGGAAAAAAACTTGCCTTGAGTTTTTTTTTTTTTTCCCCACAGTAGTATTTTGATGGAAATAATAGGTACTTGGATCATTGTGCCACGATTTTTTTTATGGTATTATTTAAAAAAATCAGTTATGTGTGCCCACAGTTTAAAGTTACGACACATAGCCATCTCCCAATGTCCTCTCTTCTTTTCCAGCCTCTCCGTTTCTTGCTATCTAGAAGCAAGATGTTAGCTGATTCTTTTAGTGTTGACCTGTGTATCTCTAAATAACATGTTTTTTATTGCTACTTCTTGATTTTACTACTTGATTATTGCTACTACTTGATTTGATAGATCCAGGCAGCCTGACTCCACAGTCCCTTTTTTTAACCTTTATACTATTTTGTCTCTTACCAAAATCAGGAGCAAATTGGAAATTCTTTGCCTGTGGGTAGTGTTTGTCAAAGCCGTGTTCCCTGAGTCAGCTGTTTCTTTGTGGAACATCTGATGAAGTTCATTCTTCATGGGTTGATTAGATTCAACAGAGAAGGATCTTGGACTCTGCTGTGCAGAGGCTGAAGCCCAGCTGCTGGTAGCTTGGTTGCCAGGTGGTGAATGAAGCCTGGGGATGGGTCTCAAAATCTAATACAACTTCGACTTAGTCCACCTGTCTCTGGTCTTCCAGTCCAGAGATTCTTACCCTAAGGAATAAGCCGTCAGTCTTCTGTGTTGAAGAATTGTAAACTGCCTAGTTGTACAGATTCTGGGAGGGGGTATGGGCTTTATCTGTGACCCTTATTTTGAGTCTCATCTTTACCGACTTTCAGTGCTGCCCACTCTTGAGTCTTGTGGTTTCTGTGATGTAAACATGATTGATTCTCGTTTTCCCACTGGTAGTGTCAAGTTCATCTTCCTTGTACTTGCTTTCAATTTTTTTTTTTTTTTTTTGCAGTTTTCTCATTTTACATTCTCTTTGACTCTGTGTTTACGTGGGAGCAAACAATCAAATCTTTGCTTGATATCTTTTAGGAAAAGATTTTGAAAAAGACTTGAATAAAATGCATGTTTTAAATGTTCCACTTAAAGTCTCTGCTAGGTCTGTTGAAATAGATCTCAGATGTCTCCTTTTACCTGAAGCATTTCATGGTGGCCCAGCTAGACTTATCACTGTCTGAAAACCTTTTTCTCCCACCTTGGATGCTTTTTCCTTCTTTCTTAAGGCCCTTTTATATCTTGTATTAGTTATATCTGCATGTTTTTCTTACACTCTGCCCTCCCCTCCACACCAGACCATAACTCCTTGAGGACCTTGAGTGATCTCTTCCACAGAGTTGTTCAATAAAAATGTTACATTAAGTGTTGTGTGTATGTGTTTTTCTTGTGAAATAGCCATAAGATATTAAATACTGGGGATAGTGAAGGAGGGAATTAAAATAATAATTCAACAAAAGGGATTAAATTCAGATATAAAGAAGTCTGAGAGTCGTTAAACCTAGGTATTATGAAATCATTCAGCATAGATACCTTACCATAACAAAGTAAGCAGCTCTTCTGCCATGACACAAAAGAATGAACCACGTGATCTGTCAATTTGTTGGCCAGGCTCCTGATTCTGTAAGTTAGGTGATAGATATAGTTGGTGTTGCTCTGTTCTGTTTGTAGTTTAATGGGATATAATGTTAGGTGCTAGGAATGGTCTAAAAGGTTTATAAATGCACTTTAGATAAAACTGTTTTAAATGTATCGGACTAGCTGAATCCGTAAAAAAGCCCACACTTGTAATCTTTTATTTTAAAAACGAATTTTTAGTTTTTGGATTTTATAAAATGCTGTTAATTTTTCTTCTTCCTGCTCTTCAAAATGTTCAAAAGGAAACAGAAACTATTGCAGAATTTGCAATGAAATTATTCAGAGAAAAGTTATTGCTTTAAAATGACAATGTTTACTTCTCTGCGTTTTTAAAAAACTCAGGACATATTTGTATTTTAAGATAAATTAATATTTCTTTGAAAACAGAGGAAGACTCTCATCTGCATTTTAATATGCAATAATGGCTGGGGTATAGAAGAACATCAGTGGTCACTCATAACGTTCCTTTACAGAGCTAAATCATCGCTGAGGGAACTGATGGTATTCGGTTCATTACCACAGGCAACAAGCTGAAATGATTGTTAGAAATAGGTATTTATTTTTGTTTTCAAATTGTCTGGCACCTTGCAAATAATTTATTGGGGTTTGACTTACGGAAACACATAGAAGCATTACTCTAAAAATTCCGTTCTTTTGAAACCATATTATTTGGGTACAGTGTTTATAGATGCTAAAAATATCTTTTGTCTCCTGAGATTCGTGGGACACATGTGAAAAAGACAAACTTGGTGTTTATAGTTTGACTTGGTTAATTCTTCGTATCCATATCACTCATTTCATAATTTCTTCATGAAAAATATAATCACATACAGATTTCTGTTTGCTTGCAACACAAAATTAATGTGAATTCCATTTCAAACTAACCACCGTCAGAATTTTCTGGAAGTCTGGTTTATATTTTTAAGTGCTGTATGTAGATCACTTGCCTAGCTTTGATTTTTGGAGAAATACATCTTTTAAAAATTTTTCAACAGATTGTTAAATTGTGGATAATGATGACAATACTGGTGTCATATTCTGGTTAATTTAATGTCGTCCCTTTTCATAATGTATTTCTGTCTACATATATTCCTTTTAGTGTCATTACCTACTAAGTTTCTGTGAAGATAAAGTTTCTTTGCCAATTAAAACAAAACAGTCCTCGAGGTAGTTTTTGTTGTTTATTCTTCTATATTTTTGAGTTATATTTTTGAAGACAGTAGTATTAATTTGACAAGGCAAACAATGGCTGTAGATGACTACTGCTTTACCATTCAAAGCAAAACACCTTAGAAAAATACCTTTAGAATTACTGCTTAGCATATGGTTTAATTTGCTTAGCTGTTTTTTTTTAGAAGTTGGAGAAGATTATTTTTCTACAATCAAAGTCCATCTTGTATTACTGAGTCAAGGAAACTGTAATTAATATTTAAATATGATCACTTTTGAAAGATAGAAAAGGAAACCAGTTATTGACCAGAGTATCACTTCCAGCTACTGATTCACAGTTTATTGTGAATTTATTTTTTATTTTGATATCTATCACCTGTTACTTGTTTTACCTTTCCAAGTGTTTTAGTTACTTTGTGGTTTGTTAGATAAAAGCGTCTTCTTTTTATTCTTCTTATCCTTTGATTGTTATGATACGTGTCTTGGACAAAATAAAGGATGTATCATCCTGGTGACTGTCTCTCTCACATGGTTTGTAAGGGTAAAGAAGAAAGGAATTGTGGGTGTTCGCTTGTGTTTTTCTCTTCCCTGGCCTCCCATGAATACATGACTTGATTTATCTTGATCAGCCTAGTAACTTGCTCCACATTTTTCCAAAAGTGCAAAGCAGTTTCAGCTAAAAATACACATATCAAAATGCTCCAGAAGTTGTGGCCACAGCTCAAAAATGCTGATCAATTTTGAAAATCTAAATCAACCTCGGCCATGAAACTGAGGGAAGAACCTTTGTGGTGGGGGACAGATTTCCAAAAATTCACCACAGTTCTGTTCTTAGCTGGAGCCTGTGCTGCTGTTGCCAGACAACTGAGGAATAGATGCAAAAAGCAGGAAGCATTATTGAATTGAGCCCTAGTGCCAATTTGGGAAAAGCAAATTAAAATGTAAAAGAATATTTTTCCACTCCTGGCGTCTCAACATAAAATGGCAAAATACATGGTTGCTGAAAAAGTCACAAAAATTGTTAATTTTGCCAGCATGGCTAATTTTGTCCCCCAAACTTAGTCTTTTTGTGTTAAAAAAATGCATACACGTATAGTTAAAATAAGTTTTTTTTTAACAAAAGTGAAATTGTCCTAATTTACAAATCAAAATGTATATACATTTAAGTCAGAGAAGTGTTTTGACATAAATAACTGTGTGGGGTGTGGGCTTATTTCAATGTCTTCTGATATTTTTCAGGTGCCCTTGAAGAATGGATGATGATGATTTTGGTGGTTTTGAGGTGTGTGCTATTATTTACCTTATTTTGCTTATGTAATTGTTTTATCTCTGTGGGATTATAATGGAGTATATACTAAATGTATTATTTATCATTGGCGTTCATAATCTTTTCTTGATCCTTTTGAATGTAACTCTGGAATAAAAAAACCGAAATCAACAAAAATTAAAACATACCCTCTCTGAAAGTTAAAACTACTTTATTGCTATTGAACATTTGGTTGTGCCCACAGAACTTGGTTTAACCCGAGTGCTACTAGTGGAAGCACTGAAGAAGAGGCTTTAGGAATTGTCAGCAGATGATTTTGCTGGGATGTGCATGTCTGTTCGGAAATACTTGTGAGATGAGGGATGAATATTGAAGATCTGTCACATATTTTCATGTTTACACCTGTAATGAGTTGATTTAGTATATTAACTACATCTAGCCTTTGGGTGGCTTATAGAGCTAATTAGTATGTTGTGTTGTTAGATTATTCTCTCAGGTTTTAGTTGGATGCTTTTGTAAGTGGAAATTGTTAGCTTGAAGAAGCACTGTCTTTTCCTTAATCCTTGTCAGTGTGTGTTCATTTTATTGAAATATTTTGTAACCCAGTTATTTTTATGGAGCCAGTGTAGTCTTGCAGGAAAATCTCTGGATTAGGAGTCGGTCATACTTGCCTGAGCTCAAGTCCTGGAACTGCCATCAAGTGAGCTCTGTGATTTTTTTCTTTTCTTTTTTTTCAAAGGAAGATTTACATCTAGTTTGTAATTTGGTAAAAAGGAGATTGTTACAAAGGGGGACTATAATCATGACATTAATAGGGTAAAAAAGTATATTCAGTGTTCTGAATGTCATGAAAGAATGATGGGGGCTTCTTTTAGTTTAGAATAATTTTTTTCATTTGTTGACCTTTAATATCTGTTAATATGGAGATATTTAGAATGTGAACTTACCTGTTTTCTACGTTTCACTTAAAACTTTTTAATTTAGCATATTTGTATTGTGTTCTGCATTTGCTTCAATATTTTGGGTTTTGTTGGATGACTGAATCTTATGTTACTGATATAAGTAACATTTAAAATTTTGTTAGAATTCCTTTCATTTAGAGGAAAATAATGTATTTCAGATATCATCTTAGTGGATTGTTTAGAAGTTGTCAGTTATTTGAAAATTAAAACTCAGTGTAGTCTCCTTTATTTCAACCATGCTTGACTTATTATAGCAGAGAAAGAAGTAGAGTAGGTAGTGTTACTTAGAGCAGCAATTATACTTCGGTGCATAGTCAATGGATCTATTCCTTTTAATATTATGTAGTTACAGTGTCAACCAACCATTCCAACTTAATTATGGTTGTTAGGTTTCTTTCTTTCCACATCCTGTTGTAGAAATATGGAAGGTCTCTGTCCTTGGTTATAGAAACCATGTTTATTTTTCATAGTTTGTAGAGAGTGGCTGTTATACCCTGTGTCACTTAGTTCCTGGGGCAGATTGCCCCTGTTGCCTTCTCCTGGCTGGCAACTCAATGCAGAATGCAAACTGAAACTCTGGCTCTATTTTTCAGTAATAATTTTGCTGTGACCTGGACACTTAAGAGACAGAAAACTCTGCACTCATGCTTATAAACTCAACACAGTAATTGACTGTCTTGTAGTTTTCAAACTGTTTAATAGGAGGGCTTGTTAATTTTAAGTGTCAGCTTTAGGAATTCTCTGACTGTTGAATGCAAGCAAGTCCAGCTGGTAGATTATTTAAGAACATGGATGAATCCTGTTTCTTTAGATCTCTTTTTAGGTCTTCTGATAGTTAATGAAAAAAGATTGAGTCTCAAGATTTTTGGACTTTTGAAGAAAAATGATAAATGTAGTAAAATAAGTGCAGTTACTTTAGAGTACTTAGAAATAAAGTTCACAAATGAAAATGTAATTGAAGATATATAAAATAAAAATATCGTTAACAGGAGATATATTGGAGTAGGAGGAAAACTTTTACTTAAAGACAATAGAGCACACGTACTGGGGGTAGTGACTGGTAGCGGGGGGTGGCGGCTGAAGACTGAAAAGCAATTGAGTTTTCGCAGGAAATTTGAAAACGTGTGGGGTATTACAGAGAATATGCTTATAGAACTGGGAAACTTCATTGCTTTAAAGCATTTCTGCTTTTCAGATTTTCTAAAATAATTTTGCGTTTGTTTTACAGGCAGCAGAGATTTTTGATGGTGGAAACGGTGAAACCCAAACTACATCTCCGGCTATTCCTTGGGCTGCTTTTCCTACAGGTACTGCTACAGAGTAACTAGGAATCTTTTTGTTTTCTCCTTATTTAACATTTTTAAACCTTTCTTTGAAAACCCGTTTCTACGTTTGCGCTTTGCCATCTTTGATCTGAAAATTGGAATGACCCAGTTTTAACCTCGTTTTTTTAATAACAAATTATGAATTGCATAACAATTTCTGCAGTGGTGGCTTGAGGCATGATTCCAAAAATGATATCATGAACAATAAATGAAGTTAAAGTACAATTTACATTTCCGAGTTTGTCTTAGTTTTAGGAAGCTGAGCTGCCAAGTAATTTTTTTAGAGTGTCCAGTTCATTAATTTAAGACTCCTTCTTCTTAATATTCTAAATATGGTTTGTCATGTCCACCAATATTTAAATTTAGAAGTATTTTGCAGGAAAATTATTCCAAAGTATTAAGAATTAAGCCATCTAGGAAATTAAATAGAAAAGTACATTCCATTATTGAGAGATATTTTGTGGAAGACCTAATATTCAATATTAGTATAATTAATGTCTAAATAATATTTTGAATTCCCTAGACTTTTTGTTCTGCAAATCATTATACAGTCAGCAGTAGAAGATGAAAATATCATTCTTAACAGCTCTGCCTCATCTTGGATTGTTAGAATTTTTCATCCTACAAATATTTTTCCAGTGCTCATTATGCATTAAGCACCATGGGGGTATGTCCTTTACTTCAAGGGAAGACACAGCACGCACATACATATGTGTAATATGAAGCAGATTTGTGATTTGGGAAGAATGATGATTTCATCAGCCATTCATTTAGCAAATGTTATTTCATGCCTGGTCTGAGTCAAGTATGATCCTTGAAGCTGGGTACATATCGTTGATCTAGGCTTTAAAGGATGCATGTAATTTCATTGGGCAGAAATGGGAGAACAGGGGAAGATTTTGAAGGTAGAAAAATGCATAGAATAGAGATGCAAATGTGGGAAAGACGATGGAATAGCTAGGATGCTCATCCTTGTTGAAGGGCTTTATCCATGCTGCTTCTTTGCCTAGAATTTCTCACCTTGCTTCCCACTGCCACTTTCTCCTCCTCCCTCACCATACTAACTCCTGTTTGTTTCATGTGCTGTTTCTTTTATTAATATTTCTTTTTCTGGGAAGCCTTTCCAGAGAACCCTCCCATATCTACCTGCATGTATTTCCTAACTTTCATGATGGACTCTAAGTTTTGTAAGGTTAGGCACTATGTCTTTTTGTCCTATTGTTGTGACTTAAGTGCTGAACACTTACATTGCCCCTCAGTAAATTTTTTTAGAAGGAATAATTTAAAAAAAATGAATGTATGAATAAGTGACTGAATAAATGACTAGGCTAGGGTGACAATGGGCGTCAATAGGAAGCATTGAGATAATGATACATATGTGCTGGTTTAGAATTTTCAGCGTGCTGTCATGTGTTTGTTTATTATAAAGTACGTAGGGCACCTACAGTATTCCTATTGTACAGTTGATGAAATGATGGTTTATAAAAGTTTTGGAGTTTGATACACACGAATATGCTTAGGAATGAAATCTAGACTTTTAAATTCTATCTTTTTTTTTTCCCCAGTGATTTTTTTGAGACTCTGAAAGCCGATTTTATTTTTATTTATTTATTTATTTTTAAGTTAAAAAATTTTTTAATTGAAGTGTAGTTGATTTACAGTGCTAGTTTCAGGTGTACAGCAAAGCAATTCAGTTGTACATATATATACATATATATACTTTCTTTTCAGATTCTTTTCTTTTTTGTATATATATATATGTATTTATTGAATATAGTCAGTTTACAGTGTTGTGTCAATTTCTGGTGTACAGCACAATGCTTCAGTCACACATGCACATACATGTATTCATTTTCACCATAAGTTACTACAACTTATTGAATATAGTTCCCTGTGCTATGTAGTATGAACTTATTACTTACCTATTTTATATATATTAGTTAGTATCTTTTAATCTCGAACTCCCAATTTATCCCTTCCTACCTCCTTCTCCCCCTGGTAACCATAAGTTTGTTTTCTATGTCTGTGAGTCTGTTTCTGTTTTATAAAGAAGTTTGTTTGTCTTCTTTTTTTTTTTTTTTAAAGATTCCACATACATGTGATATCATTTGGTATTTTTCTTCTCTTTCTGGCTTACTTCACTTAGAA